CCGATACCGGTATCGGTGCATCCCTATTCAGAACTTTACCATAGGGAACCTGGAGAACAAGTCGTGGTACGGCAAAACAGCTTGTCACTATTTTGGTTAAAAAGTAATTGTTTTTATGTGGAAAAAGAAAAGAAAAGAAAAGCGAGACTACTCACTTTCTTACAAATGACATGCTTGCTCTGACTTTACACTGCAACATGAAACATCAAAGTCAGAGTTGGCTTTAACTCTAACATATATAACTATAACACGTAAGGTGTGAACATCTGGTACTTTTTCTTTGATCTGAATAAAGGGACAACTTGTGGCTTTTAGATTTTCAAGGGTACTTTTCACAAACACATGTTTTGGCGTCTCTTGTTGGTTGTTGAACAATTCAAGCAGTACCTTCTGTGTAAAGTGTGACTGCATGCAGTTCAATGTAACTTCCTCTGTTAAAGTAGTAACCACAGTTGTTTCCGCGCTGTGGTTGTGGGAAATATTTATGAAGTTAACTAGTCATTCATCTGTTTGAACATTTTTGGAAACTGTTTGGTAAGTTGCAAATACGCTGTTTTTTTTTCCACTCCTTCAACCGTGCATTTCATGTTGTCACCGTTCTCCTCAGCAGCACCTTCACTTGTGACAACTTGGTGAACCAAACAAGTTCAAAGATGCATATTAGAAATTACTCCATGTCCATATCCTCACAATTTGTTTGTTTTTTGTGTCATTTAAATGAGTGAATTACATCCAGACTACTGATGTGAAAATGTTCTTTGTCTTATTAAGGTAAAAATGCTCCCAGACCAAATAATCAGAGCAGGCTACACAATTGTCTCTATAAAGTCTTTTTTGGAGGGGGAGGGGGGGGGGTGCGCTGTGGCTTTTCTGCCCAGTATTCAACATCATGACTGAGGAATTGATGTCGATTGTAACCAGTTTCCAGTCCAGTTTCATAAATTGTCGCTACATACAGTACATCAAGTCATTGATGTAAGCTGCAGCTTAACTAGTTAACTAAGGAATAGCGTAGAAAATAAAACTGACCCCATGTCCTATTAATACCATATAATTTGATGCACAGTGTGTGTAATTTGGGCAGCTGGCAGAAGAGAGGGACAGCCGAGCTGAGGGCCGAGTGGTGCTGGATTTGTTAACGATGAAGCAGGGATTACTCTGCACTCGCAAGTCTGCGAGTTCCACTGGTGTAAATGTCATCATTACGCAGTTAGCAAAAGGATTCATGCAGACGTCTCTGTGCCTGTTGTTTTTTTTGTTTGTTTGTTTGTGGTGAACTTGCATTACAATCCAGCCATCGGACTTCAAGCGGATATCAAACAAGTATAATACGAATGACTACTTGGCCGTTGGGTCTCCAGCTGTATTCTCAGCACAATATAATCCAGGTTTAAGAGGCCAGGTCTGCTGATACCTGAAGATGCTGTCAGTACCTTTTACTGCAATGACAATGTGGTGGCTGTGGTTCTCGCATTAAGTAGTTTAGACCAGAATACCTCTGTATGTGTACTCGTAGTGCAAGACCTGGACAGATGGTTAAGTAAAGTAAAAAGGAATTATTTGTAGGCACGAAAGGATAGTTTTAAATGATGTAAACCACATAAAGAGTTCATTTACTGATACAAAAGGTAACATTTAATTTATTATAATGCAGAAGCATTATTGGAGGTGAGAGTGAATTCTCAAGAATATATAATTTTCTTTCTGTAAATATCTTCATACTGTACTCCCCAGTGTAATGTTGGGATCGCGTACATCCCTCCCCCTCTGGAACTACTTTTGATTTCGTTTTTCCTCTGCTCTTTTGCACTTTTCTTTACAGAACCAACTAGCAGCACGGCGGCCGATGCATGTGCAGACTCGGGCCAGGAGGCCGAGCAGGCCGAGAGGGAAGTGCCGTGCGGCTCAGAGGACGAGGGCAGCGACATGGATCAGACAGAGCAGCAGGCACCCACAGGCGACCTGGAAAGCCCCGAGACCAGCAGAGACAGTGAGGAGAGCAACAGTGACCCAGTCATCAGCAGCAGTAGCAGCAGCGATAGCAGCTGTAGCATAGAGGAGAGAGCAGAAGCGGCCAGTGAAGATGTAGCTCTCACTCCCTCCAGCAGTACAAGTGAACCTCCTACAGAGGGCGATATGGGAAGTGCCATCTTAAACACTGGGAACACCGAGGAGCCTATGGAGCAGGACTAGACTGAGAGCCTCCCCCTCCCTTTGCAGCCATGTGTGACCATAAACCAGCTTGTCCTTGACTCCAGCTTGACTGTCACTGGGAACGAGGACAGCACCTCAAACACAAGAAGAACGCCTCGTTACGCTTTGGACACTCCTCCAAAATGGCTACCTGGCACTGATGTGGGCATCCCAAAAATTTTTTCTTTTCCTTCTTTTTAACTGGAATATTTTATTGATCTTCCTCTCTTCTGTTTTTAAGTTTGCTTTTAAGTTTCCCTTAAAAGGGGGTTGGTTTCTGCAGCTGTGTTTTTGTTTTTGTCTCTTTCACTGGGGTTGTTTGAGTTCTGTGGTGGTCTGGTTGTTTAATGCCACTCACTCCAGCCATTTTGACATTATTACAGGATTGGTAGTCTTTAACCGTAGTGTAGCACACTGCCAGGGTCAGAACAGAGCTGCATCAGATCGTCATTATTTAAGAATTTCACATGTAAGCTAAACAAACCAGCAAATCTGTTCCTGACCTAAACTATGGCAACCAACTAACCAACGTGTGTTCCACCAGAGATGTGAGATCCCCCCCGTGTCCTGTTTAACCCACCCCACATTGATACACTACCAATCCTACTGAACAGTACTATGACGGTCTACCTTGTAGAGGCGTCCTTTGTAAAATGATATTTCGGATGCATAAAACCAACATAATTTATGATCATTTCAATGAGTTATTTTGACGTATATTTGTTTTTTGTTTAGTTTCGTCTGCCAGTTGTAGTTTCCAAATACCAGCTGTAAGTACAAAGATCAGATGCTTTCTTTGTATTGTGATGTCACCATGTTGTTTCACCAACCGATATCCAGAGCAGTTTTCTGGATCCAGTTCTACACTTGTTTCTGCAGCTGTACTTTTTGATATTTAGAATTTTAAATTTCTGTAAAGTAGATTTTTTTGTAGATTGTAATACAGTATGTGTTCACTGCCTTTGTGAAACCATATCTAATTGTACAATTTCTGTGTATACTCTGAATGCTTTTGCTTTCAATGGGGTATTCAGAAACAGCAATAAATGTTAACATTTTTATGGTTGGTGGTCTTGCTCACTTAACCATTCATGTTGTGCATTAATTATTTAGGAATATGTAGATGATGTGAACAACAAGCATATTTTTGATGGCTTTAGTTAATTTAGGGGCGTGTTCTTTCCAGGGTCCAGTTTGGGTGTGTGTGCGTGCTCATTTGTGAATGAGCAGGAAGTCCAGCCCACTAAATGGTTGTGTAATATTTGGACTTGACACTGTCCGTATATTATTTCTGTCTGAATCCTTGTCGGCTTTACAGCCCTTTTTAATAATGAAGTTGCTACCTATGG